ACTTAAGATAATAAATATACCCCTTATTTTTTCTACATCGTTGTGACATTTTGGCAATCTCGCAATCGCTAGTTTGTTGGCTCTGCGCTGCCGTAGCGCAAAGATGTCTGCCTCCATGGCTGCGAGACCCGCTCCTATGTAATTATAAATAACGAATTCTAAGGCAACGCAAATATTAAGGTTAAGAGGCTGAGCTCGTAGATGATGATAAATAACATAGTTATTTATAATATATTCTGACTTATTTATAATATATTTCTGACTTTATATCCCTGTAATTATTACACACTGTAGCTTTAAAGACATTTCAATTACTGGAAAAAATTGCAAGGGGAATATAAAAAAAAGGTCTAATCGACAAAAATTTTCAGGACCCCCATGCAGTACCTCCATGGACCCCCTGGGGGTCCCGGATCCCCTGGTGAAGACTCTAAGGCTATGATGTAACAAAAAAATGTGTATCTTTCACTCTGAGTGTTTTTCATGAATTTCTTATAGAAGCACTATAGTAGCCCTTTCTTGTTATTACATTGACCTTCATATTTGCCATGAAAATATAAATGTTTCTTGAATGTTAAACAGCAAATAAGGTCTTGTCCTGGACTCCAATAATACTCCTGGCTTGAAATGTAGATCTTCTAAGTATTTCACTGAGTAACGGGTTTGTATGTCTACTTTTTTCTGTATCTCTGCTTCTGTCTCCTTGAACCCCAGTCAGCCTCAGCAGATGGCCGCTCAAACTGAGCCTGATTCTGCTGGAGGCTTCTTCCTGTTATAAAATAGTTTTTCCTCTCCACTGTCGCTACAAGCATGCTTAGTGTGAGGGATTGCCTTTGAGTCAATGAGTCGATGCAATCAACTGGTTTTCCTAAGACAGAAAACTTTGAATCAATTTAATTGCATGATCTGTTGAGTTGTCTCTGTAAAGTGCATTGAGATGACCTGATGTGAATTGGCGCTATATAAATAAATGGAATTGAATTGAAGGACTAATATTCAAACTGTTCTAGCTCCATAAATAGCTAGCTATTTCATTTCAAGAAAAATAGTTCATTATCAGCTCATCTTATCTGAAATGAAATTATTTTAGGAAATCTGCAAGAGTTTAGATTTCTTTTTGCAGCAAATATCAGGTCACAATGGTTAGGTGTCCAATCATTTCCTGGTATTCATGCAGTTCCCCCTAAGGCTCAAACTGGCCTATAGTCGGTATCTTCTGTTGCTTTCTTTGTGTTGAACGCCAGCCTTTGAAAAGCAGTGGAGGCAAAAACCTCACCTGTAATTTTGAGATCCTTGAGTTCTTGTTCAGCCTTGAAGCAGCGGGTGCTGCTCTCCTTTTTCTCCTCCTCCAGGAGAACCAGTTTGTGTCTCAATGCAGTTATTTCCTTCTGAGTCTCACAGTTGTTTAGTTTTTCTTCCATCTGCTTGAGCTAATAAACAAACATAAATAATGTTTATTGTTCAACAAAGGAAAAGTCAAAAAGTACAAAACCAATGCTCCTTGAATGAGGAGACGATAGATTCAACACAATCTTCCTAGTGACATAATGTGCAGCAAGTCTGAATTTCAAGGGAGAATTCGATCACATTATCATTATTATACTTCTTGTTATTTATAACGAGAACAGCCTTCGCAGAGCACAGACCTCCACCAAGTCACTCATTTCCAGACATATCCTGATTTCCACCTTCAGGTAATACCTGTATTCCCAGAATCTTTGAAAACATTCCTGGATTCAAATGGTGATCCGGATCATGACCCAAATGGAATGGATTGTTCCTTGGACTGAGGCAAACCTTTGGTAAAAAGGTTCATTAAATCCATTCATAACTTTTTGAGTTACCCTGTTCACAGACAGACAGAGACACTCTCCTAAAAATCAGGACCTGTAATTTAGTTATCAGGCTCCTCTCCTGTGGAACCAACTACCAGTTTTAGTCCGTGAGG